CTCTTTGTATGGGTTGGCCATCCCTGTCTGTGAATCCCTCTGGACCTCTGGATAGACGGCAGAGAGCATGAGCAGGTCATCCTCGTAGCAAAAGCGCCCTATAGTTCGTACGTCAATGAAGGTGCCTTCAGCAGTGACCTGAAAGACATGGATAGTTTGCTGCTGCACGGAGAGAATAGCCAAGATATTCTTATATAGGTAGAGTCCTTGGTTGTGGGATAAGATGACCTTGTCACATTTGAATGTCCGGGTGTCACACAACCTGCCCGTGTGCAGGTCTATAATGTGCAAAGAATAATCTTCCAAAGGAGACCTGGGATTAGGCGTCACTGATTCGCTGTTGCGGTAAACCTCAAAAAAGGGAGGATGGGGCTCCTCAGGCAGATAGGCAGCAGAACCAACAATGACATATCGACAATCGTCTGTAAACAAGCTACATTCACGGTTCAAGTGCTCACCATTGGAGGCCACGTTGGTAATATGAAGAAGGACGAAGAAACGTTCAAAGAGACGCCCACGGATATTGATGGACCTCTGGTCGTTGCCGTTAGCCAAGATCTCTCCGTCATAACCCTGAAGTAGATCCTCTGCCGCTTGGCATCCCTGGTATTCATAAATCTCCAAGGAAGTCTGATCTGAGGAGAAAGCAATGAAGTATCTTCCATCGGGGGAAAATTTCCGTAAAAAGCAGGGCGGCTTCTCAACGTTGACCACGGTGAAATTGGGGAAAATGTTTTGATGAAAAATGCGGACTTGGTGCCAGTGTGTCCCGATTTTGCCAGAGGTGATCCTTCGGCGTTCTAAGCGATAGATTACATTTTGGTTCTGGATCCGACGGGGTTTGATGGTTGGGTTGTCATGTTCCATCCTAATTTCTTCAAACAGAAAATGTCCCAGGAATACTGGGCTCTGAGAGAGCCACTGAGGGGCCAATCATGTTGTCAAGTATGGGACATTTGGAGGCAGTGGTAATAAAACTGGAGAGAGAAGGAAAGAAAGAGACATCAGTCTTAAACCCACATCTAGTTAAGATGAAACACATTTGTGTTCTTATAAAAAAAAAGAGCAATTCAAATCTGTGATGACAGTATGAATTCAGCGTCTGAGTTTCTGCTCCAGGCACACACAGATACAACCCCCCACACACTACTTTTTAAGCTGCCACAAGATTCTCCAAATTTCTGTATCATTTTCCAGGATTACTATCACAAGAACTGTGCTAAAATATCATACTTATAAATAAAGAAATGCAGTTTAGGAATTTGTTTCCCAAATGAAACCAGCTAATATTGAATGTAAATTAGAAACTGCTCAGAAGAGCTAATGACTAAAAACTGAGAGGAAGCCCATCTCTCTTTTGGGGTATTCCATTCCACTTGAAGTGGCGATGATGTAATCAAAGCAGGCCAGAATATTAGAAAGAGCAGCTCAAACATCTGGCTCAATCTTTTATGAAATATGATCTCATCTGATACAAATAAGAATGAGAGGGTTTTTAGATAGTAGTGATCCCTCTACAATAGCAAGAATTTCCATCTTTCTTTCAAGGATGCTTTTTCTTCTATTTGTTTCTTCTTTGCAACTAAGTGAGGTAGATTGGACTGAATAGAATCTGAATACATATTGGAATCCAAGTTCAGCCGTTCTATCTAGGATTTCCGAATTTGAGGTAGAATGCAATATGAATCAGCTGATTTTTAAATTGAATATTATTATTTTGTTTCTTGTTTGTTTCTTTTCCCTCTTTCTTTCTTAAGCACACGTGAAACAATCACAACTCTGTGGTGGAATGCATATTTTATATTTGGAACATTTCAAATATCTAGATACAGGGGGACAAAAAACCCTGCCTGAAACTCTTGTTTCAATTCAGGGCAGACCCTATGGAGCTGATCTGGCCTAAGGGAATTTCTTAGGCATATAGGTAATAAAGCCAATGAGCAAGACGATGCAGGTTCAAGTCCACCCTCAGGCATAGAAAGTCATCAGGTGACTTTGGGTCAGTTATTCTTTCTTAGCACAACTTTACTCATAGGGCAATTGTTGCAGGGAAAATTTAGAAGGGAGCATTACGTGTGACGCTTTAACCTCCTGTAAGCAAGGCAGGATATAAGTCTGATAAATTAAAGGTATTCTTGAATTTATTGTATTCAAAGGTCTACATTCCTCACTTAACATCATTTCACATTGTAAGCTGCTCAGTCATCATGAACTGCAGGATGAGCAGCAAATAAATTTATGCATTATAATTTGTATCCTGCCTTTATTATTGTTACAAGTAACTGAAGGCGGCAGATATCCCAATAACAAATACATTTAATAATAGAAACAGAATAATAATCAGCCAGCACTCCTCCTTTCTGCAGTAGTAGTCAACCCACCTAAGTGGAAAGAAGGACATTTAAAGAAGTAGCTACCTATCAAGGTAGGCAGTTCCACTAACAAGGAACTAATTAATTAATTAAGGGGATTTCACCCACATTTGAGAGAAATATAAATAGCTCCCACACGTCCTTTGGGGTCATGGCATCCTTCCGTTATCTTATTGATTCCCTCGCCACTATCAAACTATTCATTACGGCTGCATTGCTATTACTATTAGTCTTCTCATCGTTCCTATCACCCATCTCCTCACTTAGTATGATTGTGATTTTGTTGCTTGTATCCTTACATTTTATATTGATATTGTTTCCTGATTGCTTATTTCTATCTTATGACTATCATTAAGTGTTGCACCTTATGATTCTTGACGAATGTATCTTGTCTTTTTATGTACACTGAGAGCATCTGCACCAAAGACAAATTCCTTGTGTGTCCAATCACACTTGGCCAATAAAGAATTCTATTCTATTCTATTCTATTCTATTCTATTCTATTCTAT